ATATTTATGACATATGTGTTTAATTGTCTTTATTTTACTAGGGGATAAGATATTTGCAAAAGTCACACACATATTCTTCTTTCTCGGCCTCAGCGTACTCGTTATGTGTCCACGAATGGCACATGAAGCACTTGACCCATATCTTATCAAGATAATCCTCTGAAAAAAGTGCTTCACAAAACATACACGTTACGTCAGCTGCGTCCTGTGGATGCTGTGTAAAAGAAAACTCATTATAATCGCTCCCATAATCTGCAGGCAAATATTCCTCCTCATCCTCGATACTAGAACCCGATTTATTTTTTTTGATTTTTTGTGACTTTGGTAACCTACTTCGTCTAGCTCCCCTTTATCTTTGTTTAGAGATTGGATAAATTTATTTTTGTAAAGTGAAGAGGTTATCACTTAACACTTACTTGGCTTACGCCCACGATTGGAGGATTTTTTGCTTCAATAGTGGAATTGATGGAGTGGGCTTATTCTCAAATAATGTTCTTTTTACACCAAGCTCTGCACAAGGTCTCCTGGAAGGCGTGGCAGACTTTCTGTAAAAGGTTGTTGTGGGAATAGCGAAAAGCTATGAACTAGTTAAAGAAATAGCATTAAGCTATGTATTAGTTTTACGAATAGTTTCAAGCTGTTTATTAGGCTCATATGGAAGAGTGGGAGAAATGATGATAGCTGATAAATTATTGTGACTGGAACCACAATCTAGTGTACTCTCAGAATTGATAGAGTTATCATCAGAATTTGTACGTTCATTTGAATTGACAGCAGCAGTTGAAACGACGATCACCTTATCATCTTCATCACTCGCATCATCAGGTGCGGCTGTCGAAGTATTTTCTGCTTCAATTTCAGCTGTCATGAAATCGAAATATGTCAATATGTTTTTTTTTTTCAAGGGATAAATTCCTGTAGCTCTAAATCCATACACGGCAATCTCCCCAGTTTGGCATTTCAAATAAGCTCTCCCAAACAGCTCTGACACATAAAATTCACTTAGTGTACGATTATTGTGGCGCAACCAGGCCCTGATCTCTTGGCTGTAGTAAGCTTTAAAAACACCCATGTAAGTTTTGTCCAATGGCTGGAGTTTGTGGATGCACTGGGAAGGCAAGACAATTATAGTGACATGATTATCTCTAGCTAAATCTATGACTTCTATATTACGTGTATGGCTGTAATGACCATCCATAATAAGCAGGACTGGTGATTTTTCTGTAGGTTTCACTGTGTCAACGAAATGTTGAAACCATCTTGTGAAAATGTTGCTTTGTATATAAATTTGTTCATTTGGGAAGCTTCAATTGGCTTTACTTCAAGTTTTCCTGTAACAAGTTGCAACGTAGAACGTGGGTCATTAAATATTTTTGCAGCTTTCAGCGTAACCATTTTGTGCTGCCTGACAGCTATAATTGCACGTTCCATATCTCTCTCATCCCATTTTTTATCTTCTTTTAGCTGTAGTTTTGACATCCTGAAACAATTGAAGTGTTTTACATTGTTCTAAATATGGGCCGCTAGCCCATAAAGAAAACAGAGGCATAGCCCATATTCAAATAGTTCGAAAATCGCGCAGACCATTGAATATCTATGATCAGACCCATGCAGTGGCGTTTCAATATTAAACAAATTAAATTATTTGAAATCGTTCTTTCATTAATCAATTTCATCAATAATTGCAAAATTATTACTCAATTATAATCACACTATATACTCACAAATAATAAATGTTAAAAAAAGTTAAAACAATCTTTGTAATTATTATTTATTAATACTATAATCTGTAACACGTATCTGTGGTTTTACATACAGACAATATATGTATGTGATATAATATAATAATAATATACATTAAAATGTCCTACAATATTGCCAAAAATATAATCTAATATCGTTGTTTAATAAATTGTGTGTACCTATCTTTACCAATTCGATTTAAATCATTTTTTTTTTGAACGCCACTGCTTTGTTTGGTGAGGCTTTACTATTCCTAGAAATTTCCGCTACTTACTAAGTTAATTAATGGGTGCGTTTAACTTCTTTTAAATTCATGCCTTTTATCGATTGCTCGAAAGAAAAATCATGGATGCCATCGAAGTTTCTATCTAATGATATGCTACAGATGGTATAGTATCTATTTAAATCCACGTGTTTTAGCATTTTCACAAACACAAAATATCAGGGCAGATTGTTTTTGTGCTAATATATTTTTCTTTTAGACAAGCTTTCATTAACATCAACAAAATGCTCAAGCCAGGCGGTCAAGTTTTTATATCATTCGCGGAACGATTGCCGATGGATCATGCTTTCCACAACCTGCTCAAGTATCCAAAATGGTCGAGGTACGGGCATATGTTAACCCCTCATTACTACAGTGTCAATGTAGAAGAATAGTATAGAAGAGATATTGAGGCTGCAGGGTTTAAATCCTATACTTTAGATGTCGAAAAGGATTACCAGGTCTGGTTCGAAAGCGAGGAGAATAGAAGAAGTAAATATATATATATATATATATTCACAACTTTATTACACCGCGTCTTCTAAGAGGGTATCAAGTTTGAATTCTTTTATTCTAATTTTAAGTACAGACAAGACAACATGACAAAATAGTTAAACAGGTAAACCAGCCAAATGGTGCGCCATGTAGGAGGATTACAGAACTGTTGATAAAGTAAACACAATAATGTAACTCCTGCTTAAGATTTACAGACTAACTTTTTATATTTAAACAACTTTTCTATATCTAAACTGCCCCCAGTCTTGACAAATTTAAATATATATTACTCCATTACATAAATTGGCGAGTTGATCTTACCAATTATGTTATGCTCTTTCTCTCTTGAATGTTTTCCAATTAATAATAATGATGAATCATGTGTTTAAGTTTTTCTTGTTTTAAAATAATTTCATATATATATATATATATATATATATATATAATATATATATATATATATATATATATATACAAAGTATATTATATTTATAAACCAAGTATCCAACTAGTGAATTTAGAGGTTTAATCGGTCATTTAATTGGCAAATAAAAAAAGAAGTCAACTACTTCATAAGTTTGTCGAAGACGTTTCGCTTTATATTTCTAAAGCTTCAGCAGTTCTCTAAAATACAGTAGATGGCATAGAATTTATAAGAAATACACATGTTAATAGTTCATAACTTACAACTCAATATGTAGTATATTATACTGAGTTATTGCAATCTATGCAAACGACGTGACGCGATACCGAAAATTTTTAAGAGCCAAATGTTCAACAAATTCCAAGGTTTGAGACAATTATAAACTTCTACGGGGGTAATTGAATGATTAGTTGGACGGATGGATTTGTATGGCGGAAATATTTGATATATATTTTTTTTAATTTATGTTTTAATAAAACTTGGAAATATGGGATGATTCATCATCATCACTGGCTCGACAACCCTTTTTGGGTCTTGGCCTGTTCAAGGATTCTTCTCCATTCTGACCTGTTTCGTGCTTTTTTTTTCCAGTTTTTAATTTTTAATGTTGTTATATCATTTTCTATTTGTTCTACGTATCTCAGCTTCGGTCTTCCTCTTGTTCTTTTTCCTACTGGCACTTGTTTGAATATTTTGTTTGGTATTTCGCCTTCTTCCATTCTTTCCACATGTCCAATCCAACGTAGCCTTCCTATTTTAATGAATGTTTATGATATCCGGATCCTGGTATATGTTGTATAGTTCAAAGTTATACCTTCTCCGCCAAATCCCGTTTTCTTTTGTGCCCTTATATATGTGTCGCAAGATTTTTCTTTCAAAGGTGGCTAATAACGTTTCCTCCCTTTTAGAGAGTGTCCAGGTTTCTGAACCGTATGTGAGTACCGGTCTTATTAAGGTTTTGTATATTTGGCATTTTGTTTTTCTGGAGACGTTATCTGATCTTAGTTGCCTAATTAAGCCATGGTAACATTTATTGGCAATAAATATTCTCCTCTTCACTTCCTCTGCAACGTTGTTATCAGACGTAACTAGGGATCCTAAGTATGTAAAGTTTTTTACCGCCTCAATGTTGTATTCTCCTATTGTTAAATTTGGCAGCTGCCTTATTTGTGCGTTTTTATTTGCAGGCATATATTTTGTTTTTGTCTGATTGATTTTAAGACCACTATTTTTTGCAGCTCGTTCTATTTGAGTGAATGCCTCTATCATTTCTCTTCTTGATCTTGCGATTATATCAACATCATCTGCGAATGCTAGTACTTGCACGCTTTTATTAATTATTGTTCCTCGGGTATTAACTGTTGTGTCTCTTATTATTTTTTCAAGTATGATGTTGAATAATATGCATGATAGAGCGTCTCCTTGGCGTAGTCCCTTCTTCACATCTATTGTTTCCGTTAATTCGTTTTGTATCCGGATTTTACTTTCTACTTTTAGTGTTTCTTTTATCAATTCTATTAGCTGTGTTGGTATATTCTGGTATTCTGGTATTATTTTTAATGAAAAATAAGGCTATTTTAACTGATGAACAGCTGATATTATTTATTTCGTAAGATAAGAGAGACCACTCTCTCTGGTACTGATAACTCATGGCATTTGAATAGCTTAGCCGTTTTTTGAAGTGCAGATCTTGCTTTCTCTACCCTACATTGGATTTCTCGGGAATGGTCCCAATCCAAACTCCATCTAACCACCTAATTCGCAGTCGACCGGTACTTCTTCTTTCTACATGTGTTCCTGTGCTTGGACTTTTAACAATCATGTTTTTTTTGGCATTAGTATTATGTGTCCGGCCCATCTAAAACCCCTATGTTTGAATGAACGTTAGGACGTCGGGTTCATTAAAGAGTTGGTATAATTTAAGATTATATCTTCTGGGTTACTACACTTGAAGTGGTCGATCCACCAAACCAGTTTTTTGTTTTTCTTTTCTCTTCCTTGTTTATTTGATTTATCCTTGTTCTTTGGGAGGAATTTATTATCTGCGACAAATTAATCAAACTAGTCAGGATTACAATGTATAAAGGTATATGCGAAGTAAAAATATGGGGTGATTATTAGAAATTTTTATAGGACATATAGGATTAAAACACATATAGGACTAAGACAGGCAACGAGATAACACGTACCACGTCGATTATACAAATAGTTTATATCCACCAGACAACATAAAAAACAAAGTAAGCAGAGATAAAAGTCTTCCAAGTACCTTGGCATACATTTAGCTTTTAATCTTACCTGTAATGGAAGAAAAAAACGTAATAATAAATCACGAATAAAATCGGAAGCTGATTCCCAATCAGGCGCTGAAAAGAGGTATAAAATATTTAGAACAAAGGCCACGACAGACTTTAAATGCTCGCAGTTTTTTTCTATTTTAAGTTGTACAATTGTTAATGCCTTTTTTACAATATGTTAGTCTTGTGCATTTGTTGATATAATATGTTCCAAAAATATTTCAAATGTAATGATGCACTAAAAATTATAAATACATGAAGTGTCTGCATCAAATCAAACCTTTAGAATCACCTGTTGCTAGACGAAAATTTATAACAGTTTTTTAAACGTTATTGAATCTATTTATTACCTTCACATGCGCTTGTTAAGACACAGCTCAAATCTCGGTTGATTTCTAAAATTCATATCCTTCAATAAAATCAAGCTTCCAACAAAATATTGTAGAGTACATATTTTACACACTTACTGAACCTTCACACAAATTTTATATGAGAATTTTATTAATAAAAAATGTTTTTTTAGCAATATTTACTGCACTTAATAGCGTGCTTCCAAGGATACCTGAAGAACAGAGGGATGAATACTTAAGAGATTACCATAGAGAAGTCGAAAGTACTGGTCATATATTATTCATGGAAAGGGATGGACAACAAGTACCATATGTCAAAGGAAATTTAATTGTTGGTGTGCTGGAAAAAGACTAATCGAGATTAAATTACAATAATAAATAAAGTCAATGAAAAATTCAAAATATTGATTTTCTACATGAGTATTTATTTTTTATCAAAACCATTTACAAACTACATTTATTAAGTGAAAAAGACAGCAAATATTTGATTTCACGCAAACAGCGCCTTTGTATTTGTAGATACGTATTTCGACCTAATAGGTCTCACCAGAACAGTTATTCAAAGGTGTTCTCAACGTGAAAGATCAATATTTTCTGTCTTTTAAGAAGCAACACTAAAATGGCTTCGACACGGACGCAATAGCGACATCTGACAATAAAACCGTAAAATAGTTTCGAAACACAATTCAGATTTCCGCTTTAATCTGTGCTTTCTAAAAATTGCAAAGCAAAACAGACGTTGATAAAGGTGTTAAAAGCTTTTAACACCTTTATCAAGGTGTTAAAAGCTTTTATTCATTTAACGAATATTTCATTTAACGAATCAAAATTTAACTGCTGACGCTGTTCAACAGGAAGAAAATGATGATGAATACGCTGACGACCCCCCAATTGATGATGGAGGGAATTGACTTCAGGCCGTTTTTTAATAGTTTGTTTGGTTTTACTCTGGTTTTTATTGCAAAAATTTTAACAAATTTGTCAATAAATTCATTAACACGTTTTCTATAAGTTTATTGTTTATTTTTTTAGTCTCCATAGTTGAAAAAACAATAAAATGGTTGTTTTCTCGAAAATTCTTTTTTTTTACTGACTGGGTTTTTCCCCTGTGCCCTTCAAATTCAAACTCGGAAAGTCCAACGAATGTCTCGTGAAGGTCTCCTAAAGCAGGTGGCATCTCTGTATTATCATGTATACATATTTTTATTAGCATTTTTTAAATGACACAGAATTATTATTTACTTGACATTATGACATTAATACCGATTAGATATAAAAACTTGTTATTAGTAATTAATTAGTTGACACTGGTACGATTAAATGCAGAGTTTTATATTTAAATTAGTTAAATACGTATTTTGTTTAGATAACACTGCCCAACACTATAATTGTGACTTCCAGTTAATGCCTATAAATTTGTGCTTGCTAAAACAAATAACCACCATGAAATTGTTCAATTAACTCTTGATTAAAAGGTAAGTTTAAATGTTGATTCTTAGCTTAACATTTAGTTTTTGGCACATCTTCTAAATGACTTAAGATAAGCTCTTACCATTATTTTTGGTATTAAAATAGAGCACCAGAATAAGACATAATAGAGCGAGAGGAAGTGATGGCAACTATACTAATTAAACGAAAATATGACTGGATAATGTCCAAAAACTCATATGAAATATTTATCTTTTTTCTTAGTTGTAATCAGGAAAGTTCATTAATGAAGAAAAGGTACCACGGTCTTTGGAAAAAAGACAGGCTTGCTGATACTGTTTTAATAATTTATATGTAGGGATGACCTCCAACTCACTAAAAACAAGCTAAAATACGGAGATCAAACAAAGCGAATACGTAATTCTCTACAATCCTAGTAACCTCCAAAATATTCCCTGGTTAAGTTAAAACTCTTCCGAACTATATGTTCCGAATGGTTTTCCCGGTTAGTACAATTCAACCTAGAGATAAAATTAATACTATTATAGCAATTAATACTAAACTCAACAGTCTTCAGGGTTGAACCACGTCAATTATCATTGCGCCGAGCTTTCGACATCCTCTTTGGTGTATTCTTCAGAGCTTCCGAGGTCTCAGTTTCCCGAGCCCCCAGGCACTACTACACTGATCACTAATCAATGCATTACTGGTGCTGGAAATACAGGAGGTTGACGTGGTTGTGAATGTGGGGATTAGCGCGAACAGTTCTGACAGGAGAATTTTGATTCGCGGGTAGAGCGGACGATTATATCGTTATGAGAGTCCATGTCGAAGGTACCCTACCCGTACGCCGTCATCTCTTTTATTGAGACAATTTGGCCTTATTTCAATTTCTATGGCTTCTCGGATAATTCTTGGTTTATAAAAGCTGTGGGGGATGAAGGCTAAGGTTCTGGAGTTTTCAAAATCAATTTTGTGACCTATGAAGATGGTATTGACCTAGAGTTTAAATTGAATCGGAATTGCGAACAGATTTGAAATGTATGAACATTCCGTACTATTTTATACGGTTTTTATATGTGAAAAAAATGGACCATACATTTTTTTTTGTAGCGTGGTGACTAAAACGGCATCATGTCATCAGCGTATGGTCTTTGTTGGGTAGGCGATAGCCTACTTTTTAACATGTTCTTGGATGACTGTCAAAAACATGCTTCCATCTACAGATCATCGACGTGGTACCACCAAATCAATGGCGGCATTGGGCCAAGGCTTTTCTATAGTGGATAGTCACATATTGCTGCTGCCTGCATCTTCTTAGACTGAAGGCATTTACTTATAGTTTCTAAAATAGCGTGCCATTTTAACATAGCCAGACTAGTATTTTGCGCTATTCGGCAAACGGTTGTCGCAATTCTTATTTGACCTGCCGTTCCCAGAAGGTATGGCGTCTATTCTGATCTCATTCGGTTTATATTAGTCACCATACCAGGGTTTTTGTGCTATTCGGCAAACGGTTGTCGTAATTATTAACTGATCTGTTAATATGCGGTTTTTATTCGGGTCTCGTTTAATTTATATTTTTTTTTGGATTCAGTTTCCGATGTCCAGGCGGAATATCCACGATGTACGTAATGTGTCACCTGCTACTGAGTACATATCTGTCGTTTCAGGACAAAGCATCATTTCTATTTTTGCTTGGGCGCCAATTTGTGGCGCTTTACTTTTGCTTGGGCGCCAATTTCTGACGGGTAGCTCTTTTAGACAGCAGATTCAGTAAAACTCAGGTTTAATTAAAATAAAAATATATTTGGAACAAATAAATAACACAATAACATTATATTCATATAGCAAGATAATAGTAATCAAGCGCCAATCCTACGGCGATATCATGGCTCAGCAACCCACTGTTAACTACCTGCGAAAAATGAAATACCATTAATTAATATCATACAGTTAAAACGACAATTACGGTGTGTTAGGACACACCGTGTGTTATGGCAGAGGAGAAAGGAAGAATGGGACAAAGGAACAGAGATAGAACGGACCGATCAACACTCGGCGGGGAGCATAAGGTGACTAGTCAACACTTACCCACGGAAAAGAATAGGTCTGCCTCAGATCAATAGTCCTAGACCAGGTACCGAAGATACTAGATCAACACTCTAGCAGAAGCCGTTGGATTTCAGTCAATACCCTAGGGCCAGTGGAGCTGTTATCAGATCTACACTCTGATGGAACCACGGACAGTTGGTTCCCAGTTAACATCCAGAGATCCGGTGGGGTTCTAGCGGACTCAATTTTCTCTTCTGGCGATGGAAGTGGAACTTGTGGTGTGAACACTGATGGGACGGAGGCGATCCACAACCTACACATATTAGTCTTCTTCTTCTTTTTCTGCGGCTTTTCCCATTATAGGTTCGCCGTTTTCGTCCTCCACGGCACTCTATTCTCCCAGTCACCTTCTCTGAGGTCTCAATCTATCATAGCATTTCCGACGTATGTTTTCCACCTTGTAGCAGGTCTTCCTCTCTGTCTTCTTCCCGGCTGGTTCCAATTTATTATTCTTTTCGGCCACTTATGCTCTGGCATTCTTTGTCCATGCCCGTACCACTGCAGGGCTCTGTTTATCAACTTTTTTGTAATTGAGCATTCTACTTACCATTCTGTTATTATACTTTCCACTTTCTACTTTCCATATTTCCTCAGTTCTTATTCTATCCGCTCTTGTGATTTGTAGACATCTTCTCATAAAGTCCAGTTCAACTGTTCTTATTTTATTTCGTATTGTTGTTGTCATTGGCCATACTTCCGCTCCATATAGGGTAATATTCATCACTATGCTTTGAAAGATCCTCTTTTTGTTTTCTTTGGTTAGAGTGTTGTTCCATATCACTCCATGGAGTGCTCTTGTGGCTTATTTTCCCCGTGCTATTTTCATTTCTATATTTTTCATACAAGTACCATCTCGGCTAATTATTGACCCTAAATACTTAAAAGTCTTACAACTCTTAATAGTCTCTTCTTCTAAACTTAAGTTCAAATCTGCAACCTAGGGTCCAATACATAAGTATTCGGTCTTGCACATATTTATCTTGAGTCCCCAAAGTTCATATTCTTCCTTTAATTTCCTTATCATGTATTCCATATCCTCCCTGTCTTGTGCAAAAATGACTTCATCATCTGCGAAAAGTAGTGAATGTAATATATTCTCTTGTACTGGTATGCCCATTGTTCCGCATTTTCTATACCATCTTTTCAAAGCCTGATCTATATATTAGTATATATTAGTTTAGCATATAAAAATATTTCGTTTTGTCTCTTGTTGTTTTTATGTTTAAATAAACCACGACATATTTACTGATAAACAGAGCCCAAAATTAGTAAGATTTGAGTCATGACGTAAGAGAAACTTAAATAATTTTTTTGTAGAGCAGTGTAATTTGTGTTTAGCTGTCGGATAAAAATATCATTTAAATATACGTTAATAAATAAGTTAAACATATATTTTGAATATAAACGACCTTCATTACAATAAACGTATCTTTTTAGATCTTATCTATTTAGAAGATAGCAATTTAGTTGTGTTCCCTAGTGTACCAATAGTTCACAGCCTTCGACATCGGTTAATTAGACATTTCTCTCCCACAAAAATGATTCCAGATTTATGGATAAAGGGAAATTGTGTTACTCAAATATTAACAAAACGAAAGTTTGAGAAATACGGACATCTACTAAAATGGAAAAAGAATGAAAGGATTCTCGAATTTGGTGCGGCAGATGGAAATACTTCAGTTAATTCAGTGCTACCAGAGTTACCAAAGGATTACAAAGAGTATGTTCTCACTGATATATCACCTGATATGGTAGCACATATGAAGAAAAATCTAAATATACCCAGAAGTAGGATCATACAACACGATATTGCTACAATAAGACTTCAAGAGGAATTCAAAAACAAGTTTGATCATATTTTTGGGATATTTGTGATGCACATGGTGCCAAATCCCAGGTAAGATCTTTTACTGCTTTTGCATGTTCAAAATTTAAAGATATACAGTAAAACCTATCAATAAGGGCCACTAAAGTTAAAGAACTGTTGGCCGTTATATAAAAATGGCCAATATTGTCAGGTTTTGCAGTCTACAAATACAAAAAAGATATTTGGAAGTTTATTTATTTTATTAATTAAAACAAATTTAATTCTATATATAAACGGAAAAGTACTAAAAGTACAATATACCAATACAAGACATAAAACTAGCTTTTTTTTTAAGATTTACTTAAAGACAGAACGTTTTCGGACTAAAAAGTCCATCATCAGTACATTTAGCAGGTTTCCATGAGTCAAGCCACTAAATATTTGGGTAAAAGCCCTTAAAATGATACAAAATTTGTTGTTTATTACATTTTTGTTAATAATTTGGTGTGATGTTAAAGTTTTTAACAGGTTCTCTGCACACCAACGTTGCACAACAATTTTGGGGGTTGCTAACTCTGAGACGATGTCTGTATAAGGGCTCTAGATGGCAACTCTGTTAATAACTGGTAACTAAGACATATCCATAACAATTTCATCATCATTTTTGCACAATAAATAATTTTCTACATCCCTCAGTTTGTACACACTTTCCTCATATTAGATAAATTGGATTTTGGAGTTTTTCGTTTTACTGTCTGAATTGTTTTTTCGTCATTATCGACCAGTTCTTCAACGATGTCCATAATACTGAAGTTTTGTAGGGGACTTTCTGTAGGTTTATCATTGTCAATGGAGGCAAATTCATACAAATCTAAAACTTCGTTACGAACTGTAGGAAAGAGGTGGGCAAGGAGTATATGGTCCTCTTCATCAAAATGAGGATCTTTTTGAATAACAACAGACAAAACGGCTTAAGAAAACATTTCTTAACTGCAGTAGGAGATACTTTTTCCATGCAGCTGTAATCCAGACAAATGCATTGGATAAATTTATGTCTTTTAATGAAAATTCTGAATTCGATACTTTGGTCCAACAAAGCTACTATGAGAATTAAAATGACTATCTACAAAGTAATTGTAGAGCCCATTCTTACATATGGAGCAGAATGTTGGCAAATGACAGTAAAAGGAAAGAAAAAAAGTTGACACGGTTGAAATGGACTACCTGAGAAGAGCTTGCCATATATCAAGAGTAGAACGTATACCTAATTCTGAAATTAGAAGAAAAACAGATAGAGTACATACAACTTCTGAAAGAATAGAAACTAGACAGTTAATATGGTATGGACACGTACAGAGGATGGACGACAACAGATGGCCAAAAAGAGCTATGGAATACAATCCAAGTAATAGAAGGAAACGAGGACAGTTTAGTGATACCGATTCGGGCACGGGAAGCTTAACGAATTTGTCTCCTAGGCCATATATTTGGCCTTTTAATATAAGAAAGCGATGGCGGCTTTCGCTAAAAGATTTAATCTTTACACATTTCGCATAGCACAAAGGATACAGAAAACGATATTATCATATCGTTTCGTTCACGGCCACCAAAGCAGGGGGCGCCTTTGTAAGCTAACTAAGCTTTAGTGAAGTTCTGGGAGACATTCGTTTTACTTTCCGAGTTTGAATTTGTATCAGCCCAAGTGTCTGACGATGCATGGCTGGGATAGGCCGAAATGATCATAACACTTTAGTGATACCGATTCGAGCACGGGAAGTTTAACGAGTTTGTCTCCTAGGCCATATATTTGGCCTTTTAATATATATATATATATATATATATATATATATATATATATATATATATGTATGTATATTAATGAAAATTCATTTCTGATTGGTTTCGGTAAATCAATTTAAAATTCTGAATTATTCCTTGAACTAAGGGCATGCAATGTCAAGTGGTGTAGGGTGGCAGGGAAACTATTTTAACATTTTCTAATAGAACTTTAGAATGTGACGTGGAACTATCCAGGAAAAAAAGCACTTTTCTACACATATTTTGCAATACACAGCAAAATAGTCAAACGTTGTTCTCTTCCGTCAGCTTTCTATACACCCCCTAGAGAATAATTCCTTAATATCAATGGTAACTTGGCATTTCAGTCTTCTATGTCATCCAAGCTCTTCCGGGACAACTCTTTCATGATTAATGGGAAAAGCCCCGTAATTGGCTGTACACCATCGTTTAAAAAACACAGAAGTTAAAACACTTCACAATTGTGTATTTTGGTATAAAAACATACAAGTATTTAAAAACTTTTTAAAAATGTCGTCAACATTTAAAATTCTGGCAGAACGTTTTCAATCTATACAGATCATCTTCAGTGCCTTTTGTATTTGGTGCTAACAATAAGGTGTCTATAAGACTTCCACGTGTGGATTTACAAATTCAAATTCAAATCTTTCAGACTTTCAGAGCCCTGGTTCACGAGTTGGTGTGATGGTGGAGAGAGAAATACTGGTATTACGGACGCAGTAATAATTACAACGCTGAAATGAAACTAGGTAGGACATGTTGCCAAAGTCAGAGAGGGAAGATGAACGAAGGCAATTTTAGAATAGAGACCTAGACATGATGCTTATCGTAATCAAAAATGTCCTCCACCAAGGTGATCAGACGACATCAAGCGCATCTACTACAACTGAATTCAGGGTGTTCAAGATCAGATGGACTGGAATTGTTTACGGGAGGCCTATATTCAGCAGTGGCCGCAAAACAGCTAAAGATTATGATGATGATTTGACAAATTTCTAATATATAAGCGTTACTAATTTATATTTTTATTTTAGGCAAGGTTTCATTAACATCAAGGAAATGCTTAAGCCAGGCGGTCAAGCATTTGTATCAATATTGGAACGCACACCCATGGATCATGCTTTCCACCATTTACTGAAGTATCCCAAATGGTCAAGATACGGACACATGCTGTCTCCTCATTACTACAGCGACAATATAGAAGAAGCCTATAAAAAAGATATTGAGGCTGCAGAGTTCGAATCATATTCCTTCCATGTCGAAAAGGACTATCCTGTATGGTTTGAAAATGAAGAGAATAGACGAAGTGAGTATATATTTAACACGTTAGTACATCAACCGAGTGTCCTAAAATTAAAAATGTAAAGTGTTATAACTGCCAAGATGACTATCCAGCAATGTTACTGAGATGCTCAAAAAGGCCAGAATTTCCAGCTGATCACCAGCAAGCCATGGAATGCTAGATCGTTCCTAAAGACTTTTCTAATTACATGAAGATCATCATATAAGTCACAACGGTCCTTCTAATTAACATCCTACATATCCGCAAAGATAGAAATCTCATTCATAGATAGAAATAATAAGGTCAGAAGTCAGATTTATACTTAAACAATAAGTTGTAAGAACTGCTAAATATAGAGTAAAATAGGACATAATGATCGCCAAAGTCCTTAAAGGACGAGGAACATGAAGAATAAAAAGAACTATGTTATATAATTGGTGCAGTTAACTGCTCAGGTGTTGGTAGGAAAAGCCGTTTGATATAAAGATACATACCTATGTCATATAGATTCTATCCTTGGCCAGACACCAGAATAAAATTCACACATAACTTTTTTAGATACATAGGTATCGTATTATAGACCTAAAAGCCAGGTAGCTCATGGAAATGGCGTTCTAATGGCTACCCCACACTTCCAATTTGGATTTAGGATTGGATACTTCACGAGCAACGAATTAATAGAAGCAGCAACCTTTACCTGTAAGGAAATTAATAACACACCACAGCCAAGCTATAGACATATTTTTAAATATACAGAAAGCATTCGATCATGTCTGGCAGGCAGGACTGCTCGAAAAACTCGACCAAGCCTGGATGCCAATTCCTTTTCTGAGAATACTCGCTCATGCCTCTCTGCTCGAACTGTAATTGTAAAAGTCATACAAATTTTCTACACACTTCACTTCTCAAGCAGAAGTTCCACAAAGCTCAATCCTAGCTCAATATACTATACAGTGCGTTAAGTTTTGGATTAGGTACACACTCTATAAATGGCAACACTGCGCGTCGTCGACTTGCCACTACATATCTGCTTGGTTGACTCGTCTTTGCTCGTCGCCCGTCGGCAAATTTGTCATATTGTCATTATACCGTGGTTGTTTAAAGGTATAACAGCGTAGAGTTTTAATTTATTTTTGTAAACATGTCTGTTTGTATGGCCGCGGAAAAAGTTCAAATAATCAAATGGTTTTATAGTGGCAATAGTGGTTTTATAGTGGCGCAACAGTGTGTAGATTTATTTTCTGTGTTTTTTGAGGGAAGACCAATTCCTTGTGTACAGTCAATTTATAATATTGTTAAAAAATTTGAGAGTTGTTATTGCCTCAAAAATTGCAGAAAATGTCACGCTCGAGAAGTGTTACCAGAAAAAGTTGAGGAAAGAGAATACCGGGATACACAAATTTGTGCAACAATCGAGGTAGATTCAACACGTTCAAGTAGAAGCGTTGCTAGAGAGTTAGATGTTAGCAATGTTACTGTAACGAAAGTATGGAAAAAGCACGGTTACAAGAATTTTAAATATTCGAAAACGCAGCGGCTTTATCCAGACGATTACTTTCGAAGAATGGAGTTTTGTGAAACTCTAATAACGAAGGCTAATAGTGAACCAAATTTTATTAAAAACCTTTTATTCACTGATGAATCTTCTGTTTCGTTAGTAGGGAGACACGATCCTTCCATTACGAGGTATTGGGCGCGGGAAAACCAGCATAGAAGTGTTGTTTACCGAACTCAACGTCCTCAAAAAGTTAACGTCTGGACTGGCATTTTAGGAGACCACATAATAAATAGATCCATTTTTTATTGAGGGCAACTTGAATAGTAGAGGATACCTCGATTTGTTACAGAATCATGTTCTTCCCGCTATTCTCAATCTTCCTGGTGTAAATCTGGAGAATGTTTGGTTTCATCAAGACGGCTGCGGCTGTTCAGTTCACAACGCTCGAATTATTAGGGAGTATTTAAACAATACTTTCCCGAATCGAGTTATCAGTGGAACAGGCGATATTAGGTGGCCTGCGCGATCTTCAGATCTTACACCCATGAACTTCTTTTTTTGGGGACATTTAAAAAGCATTATCTACGATCATCCTGAGGCTAGAGCCCAAAATTTGAATGAATTAAAAAATCGAATAAGAGGAGTCTCCAATTCTGTTACAGCAGAAACTCTTTCATCTGTTCGGAGAAGTTTTATGACAGATTGGGGTACTGTTCAGCCGTAGAAGGTCATCTATTTAAACCATTTCTGTAGGTCATAAAGAATTATTTTTTATTTTATTAGGAATAATATTTTAATTTTCAATAAGAGTATATTTTTTATTTTATCTTTTTAAAGAAATACGCTTTTATTTTTAATTCAACCACAAAAAAATTTTCACATTAATAAAAATCGATAACAATGCACCGATTAGGTCAGTGCATTTTTATCGAATTTCCTACTATTAAAATCTTCTATACGTAATGAAACATGAGATCGGACGACAGAGTAGTACATCCTAAACGTTGTTGTGAGTTACTATACTATGCACACTATACTCCGTATAGTGTGCAATACCTAATCAAAAACTTAACGCACTGTATAAAGATCACAATACCGACCTTCCTATCCCCAACTATAGATCCTACAAGATCCTTCTAAATACTCACGACAATGCCATACTCTCTACATGACCTCCCAACCGTAACAGAAGAGCGCTCTGGGTTAAACAAGAACCAAACACACATTGACTCCATCGTCAGGTGGTACAATAAATTAAGCGCAACATTAAACTCAACAAAAGCTCTTCTTCTTCCTCTTTACAAGCAATTCTGCTTGATCATTGGCAGATTAAAACCTCTATGAAAGGTTGTCACTCCATCTTGTGCGCGGTCGTCTAATATTTCTACTGATTGGTGACCTATATTTTGCTATTTCCGACAAGGGTCTACCCCATTCTGCGTATATGGCTATTCCATTCTTTGTTTTTATTTTGTGTCCATTCATTTATATACTGTACGTTACATTTTCTTATGTATAAATATCACAATAAAGTTTATTATTTAACCTAGCACTCTTAATATATCCGTTCTTTGAGACTTAACCCTACATCGATTTTTAACGTAACCCTTTCTATTGTGCGCTAAACGACACTGAATTTTTTATGAGTTCCTGTTCGTCTACTTTTACATTTGGTATTTACAGAGATCTCTACATACAACGCAAAAAATATATTACCATCGAATCATGTTTACTTTAGGAATTTTGATAGATTAGACGAATCAATTTGTCGCAGAGTGGTTGGTTATCAACAATAAACTGTATATATTCATATTTAAATAAAAAATGGTGACGCAGTATGTTGTGAAATCAGCGGAATGGCAGTTCTTTTTCGCAAAAATGTTCCTTATTTAGTCAATATTTATTATATTAGGGTAAAGATATGGCTCGATTTTAAACAAAGTAAATTAAATCCACAAGGAAAATAATTCCTGCAGCTGGCTGTATACCACGTATCACAAAAAATTGTTGGATTATGTTTAACAATTTAACAATTTATCAGAATTCACTATTTGCCCCTTTACCAAAATCCTTAATCGACCATTGCTTCTCTCTCTTAGTCAACAACTTAGTACAGCACACTCACACATCAAATTTCAGGATTTTTATAAACCAAATTTAATACAACCAAACTAGATTTTGTTCAGGGTGCTAGATGCTTTAAGCATGAAGGACCTCTATTATCTCTAATTTGTTGATTAACTCATTATTTTCCTTTAACCTCCTCCCCATTCTTCTTTAGTCATTTCCTTTACTTTTATTCTTATCAAGTCTCTGAGGAGCTCAGCCTTTTTAATTTTAAATTTAATTTCATAGGTCCATACTTTAATTTCTTCAGCCGGAAGATTTCTTACCCTTATTCAATTTATTAGACTCACTTATATTAACCTTTTTTACCATACGAGCAGTCTTAAATAATTTCATTTAAATACGAGGTCTTATATTAGCTACAAATATATACTATTCAATTTTACCTTGTCCTAGATGTGAGCAACATAAAAGGACAATTTCATATATCTAAGCTAATCTGTCACAAATTACACTTTTTAGACCACACTCCATACGATAAAGAGTAACATAGGCTGCCTAATGCATACGTCATTCTCGTAAACATGACCTTTAACAACATCGGTAATTTTACATCTTTTATATCCAAAATTAAATAATTAAAAAAATTTTTAAATCCCAACACCTGGATTGCTGTTATCATTTTTAACATCATCAAAGTTTTTGAATCTTTTGGCTGTAGTAATACTATGTATAACTTAGATGGAGATAATACTTATGATGGAGACTGAGGCACCTCTAGTCCTAGATTTACATTTATCTTTTATAATACACAGTCAATTGGAGATACCTATCGTTTATCTGCAGGCAGCAATTGTTTATGTCTGATCACAAGATTTGCAGCAGGGTTTGCGAAACCTTTAGAGAAGTCGTTCAGAACAAGTTTTTGTTACCATATGATCAGACGAGTTTCATATACTTATATATAGACTGTCTGATAGTCATCACGATAAATCCAAAAGGATGTCACGAAGAGAGTTAAGGAGATAGTTGCAGGCTGATATATAAAGTTTCTACCATAATTTAGTTTAGATCCGATAAAAGATTGATAGATTCCAAGTGTTACTTCCTCTTCAGCCTCGCAGTGGTTCTAAGCAAGAAAGTTAGTTAGGTTCATTCTGTTTAAACGATTAGCTTTAGTTTCTTGAATATGTTTTCTCTACGACAATCTTTTATCAAACTTTATACCTAAATTTATCGATGTTTGAAAATTTTCTGACCGAAATCTTGTTCGATTTAAGTGCTCAGTGAACCACTCACAATTAACTGAGCATAGCAAATATTACACTATTACAAAAAAATATTATTTTCTAGTTGTACTTACCTCAGTCAATAATGTGCTACCAAGGATACCTGAAGAACTGAAGGATGAATACTTAAAGGATTACCATAAGGAAATCGAACGGGATGGTCATATTAAATTAATGGAAAAAGATGGAGAACAAATACCATATGTAGATATGAAATTGTTGGTTGCTATCATGAACAAACAGGAATAAATATTTTATTTTATTAAAACTGTGTTTTTTTATTCTGAATTATTTAGTTTTTTATAAATATTTGAATAGTGTGGTACAACGTACAAGGTGTTATATAAATTGCCATAGATCATACAATTCTTACTTATTAGTGGTCAGAATGTATTAAATAGTAAGTAGATAATAGGTAAATGCAGCAGCATCCTTGTCACATATTTTTATAGAATTTTTCATATAAAAATGATTGCCTGTCCTTCAAGATTTACGACATCAGAATCCCACAGCGTTGCCAAAAACATCAGAATATTTAGTAAGTGAGACATTTTGAAAATATCAATTACCTATTTGTCAAACTGTCATATTAACAGTAAATACAACACTTAGTTTTAAGACTACTGCAACACACTAAAATACATAAGAAAACGTTTTAATACAAAGTTATATATTCTAAATTTTAAACTTACCTCTTTTAGAGCATTAATAGTAAAAACGTCCCGCTATTATTTCTTGTTCTAAATAATCTATCTTATATGAAAGCTTATTAGCTTTCTACAGACTATTTAGTTGTTTTGGCATAGCACAATCACAATACACAATAATAATTAGTTTTTAAAGCTATTTTCTTTTTTTTTAATATTTTATATTTTTATTTTAATATGTATTTAATTTATTTTTAATATGTAAATCAAAACATAAACAAAATTCTTACTCTAAAAAAGCGGCAACACTTTAAACAATTTTGCCACACGCTGAACTGTCATTGAAATTTGAAGTATTCCTGTATTAGTTGCGTACAATTGTCTAATACATTTATATAAAATTATTATTTTGTGCAATATTAGACTTATTATATTATAAGAAGTATTTCATACAGTGTGTAAAAGCCAAATGGAATACATTTATTATTTAGGTTACTGTACATATTTATAAAAAACCCCGAAACACGTCAAATTTAAATTACAACTTGACATTCTTTAACGTGAAAATGCAACCCCTACCTTCAACCCCCTTAGAATCACAGGTACAAACCACAATTTTTAAAATAGGAAGTATAGGCTTGTGATATATCGTTTGAAAGGTCTTTTCATTCTCCGTTCAAAAATGTTGTCGCTTTCAAGTTTATTTAGATTAATTAAGATAAAATAAATTAAAATCATGTAGTTACCGAAATTCGCTAAAATATACTCAAAACTTATTTCCCGTTTAGGTCTTGATAATGAGAAAGTGCACAAAAACCATAGCAATGTGGTTTTTAGATGATAACCATTAAAAAACTTTAAAGAATATCCGTGGTAACGTTATTTTAGGGCAAGGAACAATAAGTAAAACAGAGAAGCAGTTTCGCGAGTTTGGTCATGTAAGGCAGATAAAAAAACAGCTGCCAATGCACTGAGTGATGAACTCAAATTAGATGTGTTGCTTGAGTTTCAGAAAAATCAACATACATCGAGTAGACAGGCATCCACTACATTCAATGCTAGCGATACATCGATAGTAAACATATTAAAAGAAAATAAATTACGTCCCTATAAGATGATACCTCTACTCAGGAGCTCATGGAAAACGATTTTGATAGGAGAACTTTTTTTGTGAGCAAATGATGGACATGTTGGATAACAATATTATCCAATTAGAAGACGTTATGTTTTCTAATGAGTGTACTTTTTCACTTAACGGTCATGCTAATCGGCAAAATTGCCGCTACTGGACCACGGAAAATCCTCACTGAATGAGAGAAGAACACACTCAATGCCCTCAAAAGGTTAATGTTTGGGCAGAAATTGTAGGAAACAATATCATTGGTCCCTTTTTCATTGAGGGCAACTTGAATGGCAACAATTATTTGGCACTACTTTAAAATTATATCATTCCAACGTTGGCAAATTTATATCCTGATCCAGGAAACCTTCAGCAGAATGGAGCACCACCACATTACCAACTTAATGTCCGGCAGTACCTCGATACAATATTTCCCAATCGGTGGATAGGGAGGCGAGGATCGATTGAATGGCCAGCGCGATCACCTGATCTTACATTATTAGATTTCTTTTTATGGGGATATGTGAAGAGCCATGTGTACAAAACTAAGCCTTCTGATTTAAATGACTTAAAAGAACGAATAACGCTTGCGATTAGGTCGACCACGCCTGTTATGTTAAATAATGTTAGAAGACAGTTTTATTTGAGATTAGGATGTTGCCAAGACGTTCGCGGTGAACATTTTGAACATCTACTTCATTAACATTCATAGTTCTTTTTCGTGTTCTACATTTTATTACGTCTTGCATTACATTTTAGTTTTTGATTGTATTGTAGCGAATTTCGGTAACCACATGATTTTAATTTATTTTATTTTAATTAATCTTAATAAACTTGAAAGCGACAACATTTTTGAATGGAGAATGAAAAGACCTTACAGAAGAGAATATCACAAGCCTATACTTCCTATTTTAAAAATTGGGGGTTGTAACTGTCATTCTAAGGGAGTTGAAGGTAGGGTTGCATTTTCACGTTAATTAATGTCAAGTTATAATTTAAATTTGACGTGTTTCAGGATTTTTTATAGATATGTACAGTAACCTAAATAATGAATTTATTCCATTTGGCTTTTACACACTGTACCTATAATTTATATTATTATGTATCCAATAATTCACTTTTTAATCTTCCTCGATAGAAATGTTCTTTTTGATCAGCGTTCTCCAAAACGACAACGTTTTCTTTGTCTTTCGGCAAGTTTGGAATTAACGTCTTCTCAAAACATTCTTCATATAGATCCCCGTCCATTTCGTCGTGAGCCTTCTTGGCCAAGAAAGTTAATTCGGCCCACGCCACAAAACCAGTTTCGCTCCCAGCATGAAGAAGAACAAACCGATGACCTCTATGGGCTAACGATTTCAGTCCAGTTCAGAGCCCTTTTATAAAGGCACCTCGCAGATTCTTGGTGGTTATGTCCCTCCATTCCTTTTTAACTGAAGCACTGACGTTAGTCCAAGACTCATGGGTATAAAAAAGGTGTACATTATCCTTTTTCCTCAATGTTTTTATTTGTCTGAGGTACTTGTATCTCCAAGACATGATATCTTTATTTTCCATCATTATCGAATCTTGACCTCCTTTACCATATTTAAAACCCATGTCATTCAGTAGCCAACGAAATGTGGTTTTTGAAAAAGCTGGTAGATCCTCATCATCCTACACTCCATTATGCTGTCGACGGTTGGTGGTATGTTTTGCAAAAAAATATCATGGACAATTTTCCTTATTCGAGATTTCACTCCCTCATCGTAATTATTCTCACTTAGAGCGCTTTCAGACGAGGATACTGTATGCGAGATACAGAATTTGCGATGGCTGCTGTATCGTATTCACAGGCATGCTAGTTAGTATGAAAGCAGTAGCAGTGCAGTGCGGTTATAGTTTTGGATTATGGATGTAGAAGAGTGTGTTATGCAGTGGTACATATTAAATAAAAAGAAAAAGAAACTGAAAAGACGACGTAATTTGTGTGTTCATCCTATTGTAGAATTAATAGAAACCAAGGGAACGTATAATTCGTTTATTGCAAGATCCATCGAAGTGTTTTAATTATTTTCGAATGTCTGTGAAGTCGTTTGAAGAACTTCATGAAATGTTGGAAATTCAATTAAGTTAGAAAGACACAACTATGCGTAAAAGGATTTCATGAAAAGAACGACTTTTTATGACTTTAAGGTGAGTAATAAGTACATCATCTATTTTTAAGACTTTATTTAGTTTATTCAGTTCAGTTACAAAAAAAATACGTTATTTAGTAGCCCTACAGTTTTTGGTTAATTCTGGTAATCATTAAGAAGATCGATGATGGATTCGTCAGTCGAGGTGGCACAAGATTCAATGGAGTGGGATGAGAGGATAGGAACTATGTCTATTTTCTGACTGGATGAAAATTGTGAATTAAGTGAAGTGGGAGCTGAAGAATGAGCAGAGTTTGATTGAATAGATGTAGCATAACTAGAAAGGTGAAGGTGATTGGTAAATAGGGAAATTGTGTGCAAAAGTGGTATTAGGAGAAGACTAATGATACAGCAAATGTTGTGCAGGGTTATGTGTATACGCATATGGATTATGATATTCCTTGCACAATAATGTAGTTTTATAACGTTAAATAATCAAAACTCCAATTAGTAAACTTTTAAAACTAAACTGTATACGTATGAATCAAAATACCTATGTATTTATAATAAAAACATGTTAATTTCTTACCGTATTCATTTTGTTGTACTGCAGTCATGGCCTCAAAATTGTCGCACATTTGCTTAAACGTCTGGACCCAGCACTGCTGCTTTTTATTTCTATTGCAGTAATCTGGCGATGGCGACAGTGATTTGGTTGTACAAAACAAATGAATTTGTCATTATCAAATAAAGTACGCTCCATTATTCAACTATATTTAAAAAAACACCTTTTTTCTTGTAGTGCAAAAGTATTCGTGTGTGAAAGCGTTCATTTAACGTAATGTTTCTTCTGTATCTGGCATACGCATTCAGTCGCCTGTGACAGGAAGGTCCGAGATACTGAATTCGGTATATCGCATACTGTATCCGTCGCGAGTCCCGTGTGAAAAGCTCCATTTTAGTCTATGTAATATCTGCGTGTCGGATACGCGTATCTCGGATACAGTATTCTCGTCTGAAAGGGGTATTACGTGGAAACTGTTTTTCATACCCTGTTTGAAATTCACGATAGATAATGACAACGACTTCATGAAATAGAACTGAGCTTTCATACTTTTTCCCAACAAGTTTTTGGTCTAATGGTCAATACCCAAATCGACAAAGAGGCATGTTTGCTTTGCGTGTACAATGGGGATTAAAACTGAATCTCTTCTCCTAATGACTTTATAATGATCTTTATTTCCCAAAGAATGTTTTTACTTTTTTTCTAGAATTTTTCGTCATGTTATTGTTTATTTCGACAATGTTACTCTCTTATTTATACATCGATGATTGTATCATGCTTTAGTTGAAACAATAATGATAGTTAAAGAAATAATAATAA